GGTAGGACGTTTGCTTTGCACGCAGATGACCCAGGTTCGATTCTCAGCATCCCACATTGTCCCCCGATCACCAGGTGATTCCTGAGTGTAAAGCCAGGAGTAACCCCTGTGCATCTCTGGGTGTAACCCAAAGAGCAAAACAAAACAAAAAATATACAAACTTCTTGGAGCGCATGACCAAATCCGTGGCTGCACCAAAGCTAAAACATTACTGCACTGATAAACCAGTAGTAGCATACTAAACTGAATGGGATATAATGAAGAAAGCAATCAGTTTTGGTTAACAAAACATTTAAACACAGAAGGCTTAATCTGTAACAGCATTTTAGTAATTGCTTGTACAAGGACTTAATCTCTCCATGGTGAGATACAACAATTTACACTAATTTTCTTCTAAGAAAACATTTTTGGATCATTCTGTTAGCAATTTATTGATAACTGTAGCACTGTAGCACTGTCCTCCCGTTGTTCATAGACTAGCAGGCACCAGTAACATCTCCATTGTGAGACTTGTTGTTACTGTTTTTTTGGCATATCAAATACACCACGGGGAGTTTGCCAGGCTCTGCCATGTGGGCGGGATACTCTCGGTAGCTTGCTGGGCTCTCCGAGAAGAATTAAGGAATCAAACCCGGGTCAGCCGCATGCAAGGCAAACACCCTACCCTTTGTGCTATATTGATAACAAGCACTGTGGCACTGTCCTCCCATTGTTCATCGATTTGTTCAAGCAGGCCCAGTAACGTCTCCATTGTGAGACCTGTTGTTACTGTTCTTGGCAGATTGAATACATCATGGGGAACTTGCCAGGCTTTGCCACGCAGGCAAGATACTCTTGATAGCTTGCCAGACTCTGAGAGGGGCAGAGGAATCGAACTCAGGTTGGCCGAGTCGGCTGCTTGCAAGGTAAACGCCCTACCTGCTGTGCTATCGCTCCAACCCTGCTATCGTTCCAAACCAAGCAATATCAATAAATTATTGAGGGCCTGCTATGGAGGTAGGCTTAAGGGGTGGTTGGGAAAATTGGGGACAATGGTGGAGGGAAGGTGTAATGGTGGTGGAATTAGTGTTGGAATATTAAATGCCTGTAACAAATCATCACGAACAACTTTGTAAACCATAGTGTTTATATAAAGTGCAAGGGAATTTTTTTAAAAAATCTTGACATGGAATGTTCACAATAGACACTTATTTGAATGAATGTTAAGTCTTACAAGCAAATATCTTCAACAGTCAGAATCATAAAATAAAATGTTTATTGGCAGCAAAGCCAGTGATACAGTGCTGTTAATTGGCCTTGTTGGAGCAACAGAAACCATTCCAGCCATAGATACTGCAATAGCCAGAGCCAAAATTGCTATTTTAAAAGTGAGTTCTTTATCCTTGAAGAAGCTTCTGAAAATTGAAATGCACATCTGTTTATATATTCATGATCTTCCTTTGCTCCTTGGCACAGATTGTATTTCTCCCTGATCTCATAAGTTTCTATAACTGTGCCACTGCGTAGCTAAATAAACCTTGAGTTTGGCCCTGCTAATCTAAGTGGGGGTTTATCTACAACAACTGGTAGATCAAAATTAATGGCCTTGTGAGCTCTTGTATGCTTCATAGCTCCATCCCACAATGACAAGAGGCTGATCCCTCTCACACATTTGTCTTGTTTACTAACAGATGAACTGATTTATCCCAGAAAAGAAGGTCAGCCTGGGTCTGAACCAGAGAGAGCTCCTCTCTGAAAGGCAAATAGGCCACAGAACTTTGATTACTTTAATGAAACAAAAAGAAGTTCAAGATCTTTCTCCTCACATAGGGAAATTTCACTCAGTAGCACACATTTATTGAGAACCTCAAAATGCTTAACCCTGTGTGGGAATGGGGACCCAGTGTCCATCTTTGCAGAACTTAGTCTCAGGGCCAGATCAAAAGTTAAACATCAGAAACAAAATGTGGGTCAGTGTTATGAATTTCAAGATGGTATAGAGCAGGGCTTCTTAAACTGTTTTCACTTGAGAACCTTTTTTTTTTTGGCCTAAGATTTCGTTTTGATTTGTTTGGGGTCACACCTGGCAGTAAACTCAGGGCTTACTCTTGGCTCTCCACTCAGGGATCACTCATGGTGGGAATTCAGGTACCATATGTAGTGCTGGGGGTCAAACCTGTATGAAAAGTGCCTTACCTGCTATACTATCTCCCCAAGTCCCCCTCCCCAGTTCCCACTGAAAAAATTTTATGCAACCCTGAGTATAAAAAATAGTTACACAAATCAAATATTTATTGCTATCATAAATTTACTTTAAGACAAAATTTTAAGATTTTTTAGGACTCTCACATTTAGTTACACAATCCCCTAATGGATCACTTTGGGCAGTTTAAGAAACCAGGCTACAAGAATATGGAAAAAACCCAAGTGCCCGAGAACAGATGACTGGTCAAAGAAACTCTGGTACATCTACACAGTGGAATACCATGCAGCTGTTAGAAATGATGAAGTCATGAAATTTGCATATAAGTGGATCGACATGGAGAGTATCATTTTAAGTGAAATGAGCCAGAAAGAGAGGGACAGACATAGAATGACTGCACTCATTTGTGGAATATAAAGTAACATAATAGAAGACTAACACCCAAGGATAGTAGGATAAGGACCAGGAAGATTCCTCCATGACTTGGAAACCGGCCTCACATGCTAGGGAAAAAGACTCCTGAGACAGAGAGGGGACCACCAAGCAAAGGAGGCCTCACTCGGGATAGGAGATGCGTGCTGAAAGTAGACTATAGACCGAACATGAAGACCACTTATTACCTGAATTGCAAACCATAATACCCAAAAGGAGAGAGAGCGAGAGAGAGAGAGAGAGAGAGTAAGTAAAAGGGAATGTGCCTGCCACAGAGGCAGTGAGGGGGAGGGATACTGGTAACATTGGTGGTGGAAAATGGGCACTGGTGGAGGGATGGGTACTCGACCATTGTATGACTGAAATGTAATCACAAAAGTGTGTAAATCTGTAATTCTATCTCATGGTGTTTCATTTAAAAAATTTAAAATAACAATATAAATAAATAAAAAGGTAAAATTTCCTAAGACTTAAAAAAAAAAAGAAAGAAACCAAGCTACAGAACACTGGGCTGAGACTCAAATGTGACTCAAATGTAATAATGGAGAATGAGTTCCCCCATCCTCCCATCCCACACTAGTGAGCTTCAGGGTAGAAGATGGTTTGTCAGAGGCTCTTTTATAGGTGCAGGCAGGCAGCACCTCGGATTGAAGACAGGAATGCATATAGCACCCCTCCTGGTTCTGCACACAGAAGCTGCTAACAGATGCTCACAGTGTGAATACAGATTTGCACTACAGAGCAAATGTATCACCCAACCCAAGTTCACCCAAAAATTATAATCTCTTAATCCGTGGCTACATTTTAACAGCCCTGGCACAATATGAATGTCTTATACACATTGATTTGTTTAATATTTTATAAAAATTCAGTCACATAATATCTATGATGATACCCGTCACATGGGTGAGAAAACAGATACTGGAAGAAAGGATGACAACTCACTTTAAGTTACACAGGCACAGCCAGTGAGCTGCCACCCCAGGTTTTAAATCTTGGTGATCTGTCTTAAAAGGTTTTCCCTCCTCTGTTTCACCTCTCCAAGAAGCAGTAAAAGATCCTTGGATATTTCCTGAGAGGAGCAAAACTACAACTCCAGACACAGGACTCCTCAAAGCTGCAGCCCCAAGGACTGTGACCTGGGAGTACTCCCTATTTTATCTCTTCCTACTTTCTCTCATGCACATCCTTAGAACAATAAGTCTGGCCATATCGAATGGGTAGTGTTAAACCTAGGACAAACTCTGCTCCACAACATCTGGAAAATGGCCCTCTCATTTATAGAGCCTGCGTAGCAGCTACTGTGGGTAGAAGACAGAGTAGAGGCCAGCAGGCAGCTACCTTCTTGTGAGTCACTTGTGCTCACATCTAAGATCCTTGAAATAAACTGGATGTCCAAGCATGATTCAGAATCCAATCCAGCCTCTGACTCAGATACCTGATGTAGCATACTGATATATTCAGGGGCACTTTTCCTAGAAAATTCTCCCCTGTATTTATATTGAAGGTGGGGAGACAAGAGGTGACAACTCAGCTGAATACTAAAGGATAAGGATTTGCTCCACTGAGGATCCGGTGAATGGCATTTTCCATCCTGTCAGTTCCATGGAATACTGACCACAGAACATTCTAGAAGAAACCCTCAAATCCGATTCAATGAGGTTTTGATACCTAGAGTTTCAAAAAGCAAAAATCATGTTTTCTCAAAAAGTGTTCAGAGTCTCCTAGATTTTTACCCTTGCTAGCTTTTTTCAATATTATTAACTCTATTATTCAATATTGTCTTCCACTACTTTGATAAACAAAGGTGCCATCATCCATTTACCTTTTCAATAACACTTCATAGTCCTTCACTTATTTCTACATTCAGCCCAAAAAGTTACTCCCCTTTCAGTTCCTGACAATATGGCCCCTGGATGGTAACACAGAAGTGTCCCACACTGGGTTAGAACTTCTTCAACCATGCAGTCTAGCTGCGTGCTGGTCTCACACTTGCTTAAATATGCCTGCTCTTTCTTCATGTCTATTTTTAGTTTCCTGGCTCAAACTTCTTCAGGCCACTGAAACACAACCCTCACTCTCCGTCCTTCCCTCTGCCATGTGTGTATGCTGCAGTGAGGATCCCCCCAGGTGAAAACTGCAAATCCCATAGAGCTCCTTAAGGCAAAACAAAAAAAAAAGTATGACTTCCGGCTCACAGCTCATTTATTAAGATGAACATCAGCTGGACAACCTTCTGATGGGCTTTCGTCTTTGAACTGGATGTGGACATTTCTCTCTCAGATGACAGAATCACTTCAACTTCCCCTTTGTAGTTGCTTCCTTTCCTTGAAGGTAGCTGCGTCTTGTTTTCTTTGAAAACCTTTTCCTTCCACAGTTGCCTGCCATGCCGACCGTCATCAGTCCGTCCGTGGCCCCCCGGACAGGGGCTGAGCCCAAGTCTCCAAGACCTGTTCCCTGCCCAGTCGAGAACAAGACCACCGAGGCTGGCGGGGGTAACCCAAGCGGTATCTACTCAGCCATAATCAGCCGCAATTTTCCTATCATCGGAGTGAAAGAGAAGACATTTGAGCAGCTCCACAAGAAATGTCTCGATAAGAAGGTTCTGTATTTGGATCCTGAGTTCCCCCCAGATGAAACCTCTCTCTTTTATAGCCAGAAGTTCCCCATCCAGTTTGTCTGGAAGAGACCTCCGGTGAGTAACTGATTTGTTGGCTGGCTGGGATTTTCCCTCAGAGAAGTCCTCCCACTTGTCATCTCTTGCACTCTGCTGTTCACATGGGTCCTGGGGGAAGGATCCTGGCGGCTGCCTCGGGGCTCTGGCCTCAGGTGAGCCCTGGCAGGTCCTCAATCTCATTCCCTGACTGGAAAAAAAAATCCTACTTTTTATAAAAGTCCTTTGGAATTCAGTATAATAATGAACTCCCTCAAAGTAAATATTCCCTTCCCAAAACAAATTGCAAAGAGCCCAGATTTGTCCTCTATTGCAATGTCATGCATCATTATTAAATCATTTCCATTTCTCAACCTAAATTCACGATGTTTCTCTTTAGTTTGTCAGTTACCATGTCTTTCTGACACACAGAAGCCCAGAAAAAAGGAGTGTTTTGGGCATAGACTGCTTTTTTCATGTATAAAATGCCGGAAATAAGTTAACTCAGATTTTCCTTTCCTACTTCTCTCTCAGTCATTCCTTTATCCCTTGTTACCTGTCAGTTACAAGCAAGTCAATTCTGTTGATTTTTGCTGCTGTCTGGCCTGGTCTCCTGCCCTTTCAGAAACCTTGAGCATTCAGGCATAATGACCTTCTCCCACTTCTCCCTTTATCCCTAGGTTGCTACATCAAAATAATAATAAATTGTTGCATTCTTCAAGTTAGTTAGGTCTTGTTCCCACTATGAGGGGGTTCTTTTTGTTTTTCTTGGTTTGGGGCCACTTCTGTCCATCCTCAGGGGTTACTCCTGGCTTTGCTCTTAGGAATTACTCCTGGAAGTGCTCAGGGGACTCTATGGGATGCTGTCGTTTGAATCTGGGTGAGCTGTGTGTAAGGCAAGCAATCTATCCACTGTACTATCACTCCAGCCCTATGAGTTTTTGTTGTTTTTTTTTAATAGGAGCCAGAGAGATAGTACAGTGAGTAGGGCATTTGCTTTGAACACAGATGACCTGGATTTGATCCCCAGCATCACATATGGTCCCCTGAGCACCGCCAGGAGTAATTTCTGAGTAATTACTCCAGAGACAGGAATAACTCCTGAGCACAACTTATGTGGCCCCCAAACAAAAAAATTATAATAAACATCCCAGATGAGCTTAATGAATGTGAATCTTTAACTTGGGAACAATTTCTGTAGCTGCTTCCCTCAATGGAAGGCTCAAAAGGGAAAATTAGAGGGCCAGAGAATAGTATAGGAGCAGCTGACCCAGGTTCAATCCCTGGCACCATACATGGTTCCCCAAGTTCCAGGAATAGTCCCTGAGCACCATGTGGTATGACCCCCTCCCACCCCCACTCACACACACACACACACACACACACCAAAAAAGAGAAAAATTAGGAAGATAATTATAACTTTTTTATGTAGGAGTACTGCTATTTATTCAGCCACTGATTAGGCTGATTGAATTGGGCATGAACTCCATCTTACTTTTTCTTTTTTTCAAATTTTATAATTTTATTTATTGAATCATGGTGAGAGCAGTTACAAAGCTTTCAGGTTTAAAGTCTCGGTCATACAGTGAAACACCCGTACCTTCACCAGTGCCCATTCTCCACCCCCCAAAACGCCAGTATACTCCCATCCCACACTCTCCCCCTACCTGTGAGGCAGATGATTTCCAAATTATTCTCTCTCTACTTTGATTACATTCAATATTTTGACACCAGACCCACCATTATTATTTGGGATTTTACCCCAACACTCAGACCTGCTGAAAAGGCAACAGTAGACAATTTGTTTTCTATTGCTGGTTATCAATAACATATGATGTCATGTGGCTGCAGTAGTGGCCACGCAATTTTGAAATTTCAAAATTTTAACAAATCTGGAGGGATATAAGCCAAAACCTGTTGGGTTCCGAGCTTTGTTCCTGAGTCTCTGGGATCATGACCGTTATGAGGCCCCGCATGTCTTGTCACTGAGGGCCCAAACCTGATTGTCCAATGGCATCTGGAGGATGGCAGCCACCGAACCATCAAGGGGAAGCAGGCGGAGGGACAGTACCCTTTCCCTTCTGGGATGGCTCAGCAACATTAACCTACTATGGGATCTGGACACATTTCTGCCAAAAGCCGCTGGGTTCCAAGATTTGTTTCTGAGTCTCTGGGATCATGGCCATTAAGCAACTTGATCAGGAGCCAAAGAGGCCTTTTGTGGGCAGCAAATCAGGTTCTCATTGGGACGAGGAGGAAAGGGCCAGCTCCACCCCATCCCATGAGACCCCACATGTCTCGTCACTGCGGGCCCAAACCTGACTGTCCAGTGGCCTCTGGAGGATGGTGGCCACTGGGCTGCCAGGGTGAATAGGCCAAGGCACAAAACCTATTCCCACCTGGGGTGACCCAGCACCAGTAACCTATTGCAGGGACTGGACATATTTCTGCCAAAAAGCCACTGGGTTCTGAGATTTGTTTGAATCTCTGGGATCATGGCTATTAAGCACCTTGATCAGAAGCCAGAGAGGCCATTCATGGGCGGCGACTCGGGGTCTTGTTGGGACGGGGAGAGGAAGATTCTTATAACTTTTTAAAGTGTATTATATCTCTGAGGGGGCTGGAGCGATAGCACAGCGGTAGGGTGTTTGCTTTGCGCACAGCTGGCCCGGCCAAGCCAGGTTTGATTCCTTCGCCCCTCTCGGAGAGCCCGGCAAGCTACCAAGAGTATCTTGCCTGCACGGCAAAGCCTAGCAAGCTACCCGTGATGTATTCAATACACCAAACACAGTAACAACAAGTCTCACGATGGAGACGTTACTGGGCCTTCTCAAGCAAATCGATGAATAATGGAGGACCGTGACTGTGATCATGATTTCTCTGAGGTGGCTGTGGGGTGTACACATGATTGTTTTCTAGAAGAAAAATAGTTCCTTTACTTTCAAAACAGAAGAGAAAATTAGAAGCCCAGGCAGATGGGAAAAAGCCACAGACCCCAGGATCAGAAGTTTTGACCCAACTCTCAAAAATTCACCTTTACAAGTAAGCTTGTGAAATGCCTGAAGGAAGTAACTTCTGGGTAAAAAGCAGAAGTGAGTGTTTTGGTTTACACAGGCAGGACTGGTCAGAATAGGCGGAAGTCAGTGTGGAAAGCACAGGACTACGGGAAGAGAGAGAAACATCAAGAAAGAAACAGGGCTGAGGGAGAATGGAGACAGAGCCTTTTCAGAAGCATGAACTGTAGGGGTTCATGACAAGCTGATCAAGGTTCCCAGAAACCAAAGGGCCCCTGAGAACACCAGAGAAGCATTTTGCTTAAGAGAAGCTGAGAACTGCTTTAGCATTTTCAGCCAAGCTTCAAGCTAAAAAAACAAAACAAAACAAAACCATCACCAACAGAACTTTTAGAAGTTATCAACTCCTGGAACACCACAAACAGCATAAACAGCTTCTATTTTAAAACACATAAACAAGAACAAGAACAACAACAAAATGCCTCCATATAGATCACAAGATGGAGAGTATTTGAGAATTTTCCTTCAGCCATTCCAAGTGGGTTGGATTTCTTTCTTGCTGTTAAGATGTTGAAGGGGAAATGTATGGCCCCATCCCCTTCAGTAATCTGTGGTTTGTAGCAGAAAATTCCCCCTATTTCTAGTCAGAACTCTTCTGGCCACAGCTTTGCCACATTGTCTCTGACTCTACCCCAAAAAGCAGTAAAATAGTCAGCTGATTTCCTCATAAAGTAATTCTCCTTGTTCTTGAATAATGTCATCTTGCCTTTAGTTTCATGTCAACTAGTCATCAAATTCTCTAACTTTATCCCAAAGGTATTACTTTCCCCACTCTGAAGGTGCTAGTGCAATGAGGTATATATAATTGAGCTTCCTTATTTTGCACTTGTGAACTCAACTATTTACTGAATTTACTTGTTAAAAAAAATCAATATTCTTGGTGCTTCTCTGGACATTTTCAGACATGTGTAGGACAGTGAGAAATTGGATTTGCATACGCCCTTCTGAAATCAAACCAGACGCTACTCTGCCTTCTTGTTTCAGCTCTTAGGCTGTAACAAGTTTCCTTCTTCTGTTCGATTGTTCTATTAGTGCCTACTTTTCATCTTTTTTTCTCTCTTTTTGTTGGTGATTTTAATGTTTAAAATATGCCCCAACCACAGTGCTAAAATGTGGTTTAGGTTTCTCCTCAGTCAAGTTTGGATGTTGTTCGCTGTGAATTCAATTTCAGTGAATCAATAGTGTGACATGTATTTATATATAAATATGTATACATAAATATATGTGTATTATATATTAAGTGAGCAGAAACACATTAAATAAGACTTTGTATTGATCAGTTGATTAAAATGTGATCAGATAATCACAGGAATCTGATCCTGTGTCCCTGAGTAAGCAATGATTCACTCCCAGTGTCTTTACAGTGCCTTTGTAGAATATAAGAACCAGTGTCAAGTATTGCAGCTTGAGAGGCTGGTGAGATGATTCAAAGAGTTGGAGCCATGAGTTCCATCCCTAGCACCAAATGCTCCCTGTGTGGCTCCCAGGCTGTGCTAGGAATGGTCCCAAGCAACAGCAGGTGTGGTCCAAAGAGACTCAGAGCTTGAAACAAAGCCCTATTGAGAGTATGATCAGTAAAAGGTATGGAAACATATTTTATTCCATTATAGTCATTTGTTTCTTTTTTTGGAAAGAAGGGGGACAGGCCTAGCTGTGCTCAGGAATCATTCCTGGCAATGTTCAAGGAATCAGGGAACTCTAAGGGTGCCAAGAATCAAACCTGGGTTGGCTACATGCAATGCAAATTATACTATCTCTCCACCCCTTCCCCCAGCTATTTTTCTTTTGGATATTCAAAATATCCCATCTTTGGACACTGGGAGTCCTCCCCCCACCCCCCCATTCCTGTAAGTTGCCTGTACCATTTCTTTCTTATGACCTTGCTCATTTTCAATAGACTCCTCATTTTCTGACCACACCAAAATGGCGCAGGCTCATTATTTACATATTTTGCTCCTGACCCTGAAT